ATTCATTGATTTCTCATGCTTCCCTTCTTTGCCAGCTGTGCTATTGTAACCATTAACCCTAAGTTACTGCTCTTCTTTCAGCCACAAAGCGTTTATTGAACGTCTCTCTTTTCAGCCTCTGAATCATAAAACTCAGCCCAGAACATAGCCGTTTTTAATTAGAGGTCACGATTTTTGGAGGTTAAGACTTGACACATTCTCCTGTTAATGAGCTTAATGAGACCTAAAACTGATCTCTAAACATTGGTTTTTGCTCTCTGGACAGTTTCCAGAGATAAATTTTACTTTTTGATTTAGTACAAATGAATATTTTGTATTCCTGCAGTGTTTTGGGGTCTATCACTCAGAGCCTTAGCTTTACATATGGTATGAGTTATGTGTATATAGTCCCAAATATCAAATTTATGCTAAACTCTAATTGAACAAGCTGACCTGGGTGACAAAATAATTCTACAGCAAATTACATTTCTGTAAGACAAATTACATTTCTGTAAGACTCTAATTTTCAGTCCTTCTGGCCAAACAAAAAGACTACCAAAACAATTTTGTTTTGTTTTTAGGTCTGGAAAAAGAATGGTCAACTCCCCATGTTCTGGATAAGGAGAGAAACAATGGCTGATTTAAAGAATTATTTAAGGCAATGGTTCTCAATCTTGTCTATGCATTGGAATGACTAAGAGATCTAAAAATTCCCAACTCGAGGCCACAGTATTTTTATTTTATTTTATTTTATTTTTTAGCTTTCTAGGTGATTCCACTGGTGTCAAGTTTGAGAACCACTGATTTGGAGTTTCAAAGTAACTATAGTAAAATTCTAGTTTCTAGTAATACTGGATTTTTTTTTTTTAATTCCTTTTTCAGACTAATTCCCCCCGGGTAACAATCATAAAGTGTGAATGAACAAAAAGTTAAACAAACAAAAAGCTAGTTGAAGGCTTGAAGAGTAACCAAAAGCAAAAACTGGAGGGTCATCTCCCCCTAAAAGAAGAGAACTTCAAGATGTACAAGTTTGTACCTTTATGGCTGAAGGCAGTTCTCATTCTTCAGAAGGTTACGGGTGCCAGAAAGCTGCAACTTCAGTGGCTTGAGATGTCAAGGACAGAAATGGGGTGGGTAGAGCAGAGCAAAAGTTAAGAAAGTTAGGAGAATAATTCTGGAAAGAGGGGAACTGAAGGAGCAAATCTCAACCTCTGAATAGAAATTTTTTTCAAATCCCTAGTTGGTTTGTGCAGCATGGGAGACGCCAGTGGCCCCACTTAAAGGCAGCAGCCGGAAGCTGCAAACTAATCAGAGACTTCAGCTGTGATTCATTACACAATAGTTTGAAGTTGCAGTTCAGGTGAACGAGCTGCTTGAGGACAAAAGTTAACGGTTCAGAGGAATGTAGCTGAATCCATAGTCTTTATTGCTGTACCATCCATATTGTCCAGCATATAATAAAAAATCACTGGACGAGTGAAAAAGAAAAAAGTGACCCCCATACAGAAGTGAAATACAGTCAATGGAAACTGATTCTGATTGGGACATGTTACAATTAGCAAACAAGTATTTAAGGCAGCTATTATAAATGCTTATAAGGATATATATTCATAATTAGTAACGAGCAATCTCAGAAGAGAATTAGGAATGCTAAAGAACCAAATGGAAATGTTTTCCATGTGAAAAATACTATAACTATAATGAAAGTCCACTGGATGAGTTCATCAGCAGACTGAAGACAGAAGACTTAGTGAATTGCAAATAAATTATACAAATTATTCAATCTAAAACAGAAACAAGACTGAAGAAAAGAAAAAGCTTCAGAGACATGTAGGACAACCTCAAGTGATCTAATGTAAATTTGCTGGAGCTCTAGGAGACAGGAAAGCAAGAAATAAATTGAAAAAATGGCCAAAATTTCCCCAAGTTTGATTTTACAATAAATAAAAATAAAAACACAGATTTACAGATCCAAAAGCTCAATGAACCCCCAGCTAAATAAGTACAAACTATATGTAGGCACATTTTAGTGAAACTGCTAAAATTCAAAAATAAGACAGCCAGAGAAAGACATTATACATATAAGACTAATGATACAAATGACAGCTGATGTCTCATCAGAAACAATGGAGGTCAAAAGACAATAAATGCCTTTACGTGCTGTAAGAAAAAAAGCTATCAACCCAGAATTCCCCATCAGTGAAATGATCCTTCCAAAATTAAAGTGAAATAAAGCCATTTTCCATGAGCTCATTTTCAAAGCGTTTCAATGAGCCTAAACTTGTCACAAGCAGTCCTGGACTACAACTCTCAAAGAAATCATTCAAGCTGAAAAGGAAAGACCTTAGATGTCACTCAAAACTATAGGAGACAATGAAGAACATCAGAAATGGTCAACGTTTGGCAAATATAAAAGATACATACATTCTTTTTTCTCTTAATCATGTGAATGATGCTCGTTTTAAGTGAAAATGATAGCATCGTACTGTTGTGTTTATCATGTATGTAGCTGTAAATGTATGTGAAAAACGAAGGAAGGGAGGAGAGGGAGGGTGAATGGAACTATACTGTTACAAGGTTCTGTATTTTATATGAAGCTGTATCATATTAACCCTAAGTGGATTGCAGTAGGTTAAACATGTATGTTGTAATACCCTAGAAGAACCATTTTAAAAATATGGTGTATAGTTTATAAACCAATAGAAAAAACAGAAAACTGTACTTGTACCCCCTAAATCTATAAAAATAGGCCGGGCTTGGTGGCTCATGCCTGTAATCCCAGCACTTTGAGAGTCTGAGGAGGGCAATTCACTTGAGGTCAGGAGTTCAAGACCAACCTGGGCAACATGGTGAAATCCCATCTCTACTAAAAATACAAAAGAAGTAGCCGGGCATGGTGGTGCATGCCTGTAATCTCAGCTACTTGGGAGGCTGGGTCACAAGAATCCCTTGAACTCAGGAGGCGGATGTTGCAGTGAGCGAAGATCACGCCACTGCACTCCAGCCTGGGTGATAGAGCAAGATCCTATCTCAAAAAAAAAAAAAACAGTCTAAAAAAAAAAAAAAAAAAAACAAACACTTTTTTAAAAAGAAAAATTAAAACAAAATCAGAGAAAAGGACATTATATATATGAGAATTCTATATATGAGAATAATGATATTCTCATATATAATATCTTAATATGATATATAATATATATCATATACAACAATAAATGATATATAATATATAATGACATGATATATATGAGAATAAAAACATTCAACCTGAAAGAAGGCAGGAAAAGAGGAGCAAAGAAAAAAGCCAAATGGTAAACTCAGTCTAAACATATCAATAATTACAGTAAATGTAAATTGACAAATGTTAAGTAAAAGGCAGAGATCACTAGACTAAATAAAAAAGCCAGACCCAAACTACACACAATGGGATGAACTTCAAAAACACAAATAGGTGAAAAGTAAACAAATTAAAAAGATATATTGCACCATGGAAATTATAAGCATAAAAATCATTCCTATTTGGCTTTGATATGAACAGCTTTTTACATGTACCTTTTCAATTAAATGTACCTGTTTTTAGATAATGGATTACATTCATTCAACATCAGCTATTATCAACCATGATCTGCAACAACCTTAATAGGGAAAAAATGAAGTAAAACATAGGGAATTTAAGGTGACTTTGTTTTTCTTTTAAATGAGTCATATGGCTCCTTTCCTTCCCCTTCCAGTATGAGTGATGAAACACTGTTTAACAGGGCAAGCCTTTTAGGACTTGCTCATTTCCCTCACCTATGCTAAAGCAAAATGTTCAGCCTTTGATCTAGCTGTTGGAGCAAGTAATGATTCTTGATCACCTTTGCGTCATTCATTTTTATTAATGTTTATTTTGTTCCTTGTATTTACTTTACTAGTACTTTTTGGGTTTTTGTCTATTTCTGTGACTCTCTGAGGTGGGGCCAGACCACTCTAAGCTGATGTGCCCCACCAAAGCTGCACCCCACAGGCTAGAGCACATTCCCTCACTTCATTTTCTTATACCTCTCGGTAGTCATCAGCAGTTTTCTTCTTTCACTTACAAGAAAAGTCTTTTGAGTTTAGCTCTTTCTACAGTAGGGACTTTCTAAAATAGTTTCAAAATTAGACAAATTTGTGAGTAGGATTTTTCTACATTCTTTAAACAATACTGAAGCTCCGATGTTCCCTCACACTTAGACAATTCATAGCTGGGGCAGGGCTGGAAAGAACATGACTGTAACAACAAAGAAAGCTCGTACTAAGCATGACTACAAAGAATGGTTTTGTGGCATGTGACAAATCTGCTCAACCATACAAGTGAAAGGAGCAACACCAATTCCCTTCTGGCCATCTGGGCTTTATAAGTGATTGTCTATCCCAACCAACTCCACTTGTACATAGCACCATTTTTTCACAAACTGTGACCTTGGAAAATACTCACCTAATAAACAAACAATCCCGCCATAGACAGAACCCCACTGTCTATTTCATCATTTTAGACAACATTTTAAGATGTTTTAAAAGGTAGTTTCTCTGCAAATACTATGCTATATTTGAATACAAATGTCTTAACTAAATGTACCACTGAACAAAGGTTAAAGGGTAACATGGAAAAAGGGCAAGAGATTGCTTGGGTTGTTTTCTTCTGTAAGCTTAGCAATAACCGGATGCTTCAAGACTTTTCTTTACAACACGGCCATGTTTTAAACTATGCAGGACAGATCAGTAAGGGATTTAGTGGCTAGCTAAACACTGAAATGATTCATTTCAATTTGCCATGCAGTTTAAGTAAAGCTCTAAGGGCCTACTATGCCTCCTATCAAGAGTAAATATCACACATCCTGTTTATGCAAACTGGCTTGTTGTCCACAGGTTTTCAAAGAGCTGTTGACACCCCCTAACACTGCACCCTACCCCCTCAGCTTCCTGCTCACTGGGGTGCTATATTCCTCCTCATTTTTAAGAAGCGCCTCCCTCAACAGAAATACTCTGAATTACAACAATTTTTAAAGAAAATACTTTATTGTCATGAAAAAAAGGCATCAATCAACTAGATTCATACTTGTTTGAAAAAAAATTGAAAATTTATTAATTAGACAGTATGTGGGCATCCTGTTCCACATGGGAATGAGAAGATGCTATAGGTTCTCTAAGTATTGCACAGTCTGAAAAAATAACAAAAAAGGGTAAGGGGAGGAAAAAAAAAAATCACATGATATTGGGAACCATCTCACATTATGAATAATCTACCAAGAAACATTTAAAAAAGAAAACCCTTTGTTTCTACAGTAGCTTTGAGTTTATAGTTCTTGGAATGACTGTATTCCATTGAAGACATCTCAGTAACAGGAAGCTGTTTTAGCAATCCCATGTGCAAATATTAATAAAAAATATATAAAATAATGCAATTCATCTCTTGCCTTCACCCCGGCAATCATGACATTTCTGAGAACTGTTTTGCTTGAAAATGGGTTAAGCTGTAAGTTTTGCCTGAAGCTCCATCTCTGCAGCCCGTTTGAGTGCAACATCCACTAGAAGCTGAAATCCACTAAAGTCCTGGTTGAGGTCCGGTGGAGTAGGGGGAGGAGTGTTGAAAAGACCACTCTGTGTATTTGTACTTGGTCCAGATTTACACGTGTCCTCTGGGTACATGAGAGAGGTGTCTGTAAAGTTGTTGGCCGCTATCTGCTGTATATCTGTGTTGTGTCCCACACCAACTGACTGGCAGAGAGAGAAAGGGACATCTTTCAATGCAGTCACAGTGGTATGGCAGATCACCGATGGACGAGCCAAAACTGATCCCGGGGATGACGGCTTAGGAGACAGTGGCCTCCCGAGGGTTGGGTTTGGCCCAGCTGTACAGGAATGAAAAGGGGTCTCCTCTAGAGCTGGCATGAAGTTTTTGATGCCCATCACGGACTCCACAGAGCTCGTGTCAGAAATCTTGGCCCCACGGCGGGAAATTGTGAACTGATTTGGATCTTTGCCATCCTTTCTCAGCATGTCAGGGAGGAGCCTGCGGCGGGCGTTGATGAACCAGTTACAGACCTGAAATCATATCGGTACGCTTTAACACTTTACTCATTCACTCAGCCAGCGGGTTCTGAGAACGTTCTATGGGGTACCTAATTGATCTTGCTCTCTGTATTAAAGAAAGCATGAAAAGGCTTACCTGAACTTACAATGCTATTTCAAGGTATTTGAGCTCCGCCAAGAAAGCAAGCTATCTCCTGTCATAAACCTTCTAATTTCTAATACAAATTTTCTTCTTTGTCTCTTCATACTTAAACCTTTTCAGGATGAAGAAAAAGATATAAAATCTCAAATGCTTAAAAATGATTTGAGAGAGAGGTTTACCTTTTAACTCTCCCCATTTTAACCTATCACCTACTGCCCCAACATTTAAGTTAATCAACTACAGGAACACCTCTCCTTATGAAAAGGGCCACTCCTCCCAGTAACTGATTTTTCCCAGTTCAAATGACTATGTCAACAGACAGAACATGAATAACCTCACTGAAGTCGTCCTTGTTTAAATATCAAACCAGTTTCCTGGGCAATAGAGTAAGGTTTAACCTCCTTTTAATGTCTGTTGCATAAAGGAAGGTTCTTTTAGGCATTAAAGGAAATGTTATCTGACAGATGACTGTCAAGTGTTTCTGTGTTCTCTAAATAGCTAGTTATTAGCTTTTAACACTATCAAGTTTACAATAAAAAGATATTCCTTCTGTCTTTGAGTGGAAAGGAGCTTAATGACTTGACACACAGGAATGCCATAAAATGACTTTGAAAATAAAAATGCATCTGTAAACCTCATGCTCTCTTTCTTTACCTGTAGTGTAGACAGGTGTGTTTGCTGGGACAGCAATGCTTTCTCTTGCTCGGAAGGATAGGCATTGTAACGATGCTCATACAGCCAATCCCGAAGAATCTGCACAGACTCCTTGGGTAGGTTGCCCCTTCTCCTTCTCTTGCCTGAGCCAGCGGATGAAGAAAGGTCCAAAGGAATGTCCATGCTGTCCTCATCCTCAGTCTCACTGCCAGATGCTGCAACAATACCTAGGAAAGGACAAAGGCCAGTTGTCAATTGCTCTATAAGCACAGCAACTACTGCAAAGCTCACTTTGGCTGACCATTCAGTGTAACCATGCTTTCCCAACAACTGAGAGCGAGGGGAAGGAGCAGTGTTTCCTGTCCTGAATTCAGGGTACAAGTAAAAGTAATTTGACTAACACCACATGGGAGGTTCTCAACCAAATGCGAGACGCCTTTTCTCAGCCACTTTCCTCTAGGATTCATTAACTTCTCACATTCCTTTTGAATGATGCTCAGAAAACTCTTTTGTCTAATCATTGGAGGAGACAAACTGCACCCAAATGAATAACCTGCCACATTGAAAACAGGAAGGGTGCTGTAGCAGTTGGAATGTGCCTACCAACCTTCCTTCTAAGATCAGTGCTAGCTAGGAAAAGCAACCTCACCAGTATCCTAATGTACATTTAAAATGTTACTCTTCCTCCTTCCTCTACTGAAGGTTTGAAATAAAAGGGGGCACTTGCACATTGTTTTCCATGGATACAAGGAAGGAAAATTACATACTACACTGAACCCAGTTAGTATTCTAAAGGTAAAATACATGTTAAAATTTTCTGCTAACACCATGCATGGTCATTGCTTATTCATTGCTACCTACGTTTATTCAAAGTTAGACATCTACATTAAATGGGCAGTACCAGTCACCTTTTATTAAATACAACTACTGATGTTTTCAGTTTCATCACACAAAAATATTTTTCTACTACTGGTACTTTGGTAAGGTCAAAAGATGCCTAATACTAAATGAATTAAAAATGTCTCCTAAATTTCAGTTACCGGTTTGATCTCAATCTAGAATAGAATACTACATATCAATAAGCAGAGTTTAGTCTTAAATGATTACATGACAAAGGAAACTGAATATGCAAACCCCAGAGGAAGCTCTTTTGGCTGTAAGTACTTTAATCCTGCCAGAAATTTGAAGAATTCACAAGCCATAGAGAATATTTAAATCACAGATGGACTGGATTCAATAAAGCTTCAGACCTGGCCTTTACAGATATTTAAACATCATTCTGAACTTAAAAAAAAAATTAAATAACAAACGCTATTAACTCCACCTTTCAAAAACTACAGCAGGCTACTCCGAATGACTAAAGAAATACATTCTTTTGCTTGTAGACAACCTAGAATCTTAAAAACAGAAATGAATTACAAACAATGGCATGCTTGAAAAAAATCAGCACTTCTATATTAGGGGAAGTAATTACAATAACAAAAAATGTAAAGGTATGCATTTTTAGCTTCGTATGCTTTCTTTCCTCTGTAGTATGTAATTTTGGTTGAAAATATGACTTGACCTTAATTGAGCCAGTTCACCTTGACAGGAAATAAAAATGGAATATTCCTCTTAAGCTAAACACCATTTTTTTTTAAAGGAATTTTTCCCACCCGTGTAATTGACTCTGACTTGGTGACACATTTTTAGTTTTGGACTGCAGGGGGCAGAAGGTGCTGCAGGGTATTCCTACAAAAGGCAGAAGTCTCCAGACAAAGTAAAGCAAGTTCTAACAAAGAGGTGGATGATCTTGCAAATTCACTTACGCGGCTTAATAAACAGCTACAAATCAACCACACAAGAATCCTAAGTTTTAACTGCTGTGTATTTGAAATTTCCCTCCTCTGATGATTTAAGTTTTTGAAGTTTTTAAAAACTGCCCATTTAAAACTGAAACTACTTTCACTATTGACGAGCCTTTCAAACCCATATTGAAATTTGGGTGAAAAACTATTAATGAAAAAGCTTAAAGAAATTACAGCTGGGATCCTGTCTCACACTGGCTTTGATAATTAAAGAAATCGAACTTTTAAAAAAACGTGTCAAGTTAATTAAATGACTAAAGCAAACCTGAATACAGCAATTTGTTTCAACTCTCCAACATCTGAAAAGCCAGACATTCTTCTCAAAGCTATTATCTCCCTCCGTTTTTTAATCTAGAAAAAGTGTGAAAATTTGCTCATTGAACAGTGAATTCCCAACTGTAAGTTGGTAATCACAGAGTTTGAAACAAAAAAAGCCCCTGAAGCCTGCCCTTTGATCTGCTTGCCTAGTTTGACAAGAAGGCTGATCTTTCAGAATAGGTTAGTGACACACAAAAGCAGGTTTCAGTTAAGCAACACCAAACTGCAGCGCGACTTTTCAGTTCATTTAAATAAATGAATGCCAGGCCTCTGGAACTCTTAACAAATATTTCCAATATGTGCACAAAAGCTGAAGTAACAGGAAGTTAAAACTTCAGTTCCTTGGCTACGCCAGCTGATATTTCACTGCAGTAAAACCACGTTTGCTGCTGTCAGGACTGTTTTCATTAAAACTCTCCCTCCTGGTTGTGGCTCAGCTTGGAAAAACAAAGACTTTTTTCCTCCTTACTCATTTCCTATTGTAACAGCGCTTTTGAAAAGTTTCCCGGTTAAGACTTGTTTCCAAACGTGTTGCTTTGCTTACACTTTAAAAAATGTGGCGGTGGGGAGGGTGGGGGCAGAATCACAAGTTTCGTTCACTCTATCCACATACAAGGAAATGTTGTGTGGAAAGCCACAACATGGCCTGAGGATCCCACCGCTCTAAGCAGCGACCAACTTGTTCCTGCACTTTCTTTTTTCTTTTCTTTTCTTTTTTTGAGACGGACTTTCGCTCTTGTTGCCCAGACTGGAGTGCAAATGCCACAACCTCGGCCTCCCAGGTTCAAGCGATTCTCTTGCCTCAGCCTCCCGAATAGCTGGGTTACAGGAATGAACCACCACGCCCGGCTAATTTTGTATTTTTAGTAGAGACGGGGTTTCTCCATGTTGGTTAGGCTGGTCTCGAACTCCTGACCTCAGGTGATCTGCTCGCCTAGGCCTCCCTAAGTGCTGGGATTACAGGCATGAACCACCGCGCCCGGCCCTGCACTTTCTTTTCTGAGTAGGTCGGTAACATCATGATGAGACAGGGAGGCCGGGAGACACTGGTTGTGAAGAGACTCGAGAAATAAGATCGATGGGAAAAGTCGAGGTGCACAGTTAGGAAAAAGCAAATTTAACCCAGCAAATTTCCTGACCAGAAGTTCTCCTTTGGGCCGGGAGCACTATCTCTTGCCTGTAATCCCAGAACTTTGGGAGGCCAAGGCGAGAGGATTTCCTTAGCCCAGGAGTTCAAGGCCAGCCTGCGCAACATAGCCGGACCCGGTCTCCAGGATAAAAAGAAAAAAAAAAAAATCAGTATCTCCTTGGGAGAAGCAACAGGAATCGAACACCCAAGCCACCAAATCCAAGGTGTGGTTGGCGACCCCAGCCAAAGAGCAATCCCAAAGCAGGAATTCAACAGTTAAAAACTGGGAGCAAAAAGGCTTAGTGGATTTTCCTTATCGATCCTTCTGATTGTTTTTAAGCCATTTTAGGAGGTCTTTTGGCGTCACTCTCGGCTTTCTGGGAGGACACACTATTATCACAAACCAGTCCTACCAAACCACGGGCTCAAGAATGGAGCTGAAAGTGCACTTGTTTCAAGAGAACTTGAAAAGACTGCGGACTTTTATACGACGGACAGTAAGGCGGGCCCGACTTCCTCAGGAGTCTTTCCAGAGCCGACGGGGAAGGCTCCCCCCTCCCAGGTAGTTTTAGAGGAGGACTGCGGAGGAGCACGGCGAGAGGGAGGGGCCCAAGGAGCTTTTGTTCTTCAGAGTTCCTCAGCCTCAAGTGAAATAGGCCGGCCCGCATACTGCACGAGTTAGCACAAGCAAAGGAACTCCAGGTCCCAATAAACTAGAAATGAGGCCGTGAATCCCACGTTCTCAGGGTCCTGCCCACCCCAGACTACTAGCCAGGGAAACCTAAAAAGGGAAAGAAACCCGGGTAACCTCGGCAGCCTCGGCTCCCCCGACGAGCCCTGAACCAGTCGCAAAGTTTCCCCTTCAGCCCGTCACCTTTCATTGTTTCCATGAGTCGGCGCCGGGGAGCTGGACCCTGTGCGCCCTGGGATGGGGACCGCGGAAGTTCCCACCGATGCGGCCGGCGGGGCGCAGCCTTGGTCCCCAGCTCCGGGCAGAGGGCACGCGCTGTGGGAGGCGCGCCGCGGGAGGGGCAGGAGGACCCCGAGAGTGCAAAGGGGGTCGCCAGGGAGGACCAGGGCGTTGGGGGGAGGTAGGCGAAAGTGCCGCGGGAGAGTCAGGGGGACGCCAGGAAAGCCGTGGAAAAGGAGCACTGAGGCTTCCCGAGGTGGGGGGGCGGGCCGTGGAAAGTAATCAGAGCCGCCCACGCCAGAGCCCGAACAATGCGGGGAGCCCACCCCGGCGGAAGCCCGGCTCTGCGCTAGAATCATCCTTGAAACAGAGCCCTCACTTATTCCGGGGAGGCCCACCACAACAGACAGCGCGTCTCCCTAGACCTGTCAGTCCCCTCAAGGGTCGGCACGGCTTTCACTGGGCGTCTCGTCTCGGACGCTCCCCGCGCGTTTTCTCCCAGAGCCAATTCCCTGTCCCGAGTCCGCCCTCCGTATCGCGGGGAGGGGGTCCTTAGGGCGTTCTACCGCCAACGACTACCAGTTGATCCGAGTTTCACGTTTAATTTCACTCTCGCTGGAAAAGCCTGGCGGCAGAGAGAAGCTCCGCGCGTTTCAGGGCCTCCCACAGAAACGCAGCCGAAGGAACCCCGCTGGCCTTGCGGCTACCCCCCAGGAACGCCCCCCAGCGGGCTGGGTCTGAAAGAATGCGGAGTTCTAAACTCCAGGCGACTCCCGGGCATGCGCAGTAGCGCCGCCCCGCCCCGCCCGTCCGCTTCCCGAGCGATTAACTTCTGTTTTGAACCACTCCACATAAATCACAACAGAAACGCCACCTCCAGCCCACGGTGGAACACTCGGGGGACCTCCCAACCAGGGACTCAAAAGTTAACTTCAAAAGGGACTTCACAGTCTTTGACCTTTCGGGGTGTTGTGTGTGCTTTCTTCCCCCCCGGCCTCCCCCCTCCGGTGTATTTTGTTTTTAAACCAAACTGACGGCAAGTTTTAGTTGTAAAGCTTCCAGAACGCTTCGTGGAAACAATGACAGCCTTGCTCTTTGCACTTACAACCAAGCCTGCTTGTCACATTTGGACACATTTTGACTGCATGTCGCTTGAAGCTGCTGGCCCTGGGTCCTAACTCTTCCTCCTGCCCCAAAATTCATCGTGGGAAAACTTTTAGAGACTGGGAATTTGTAAAAGTCTGGCTTTCCAGAGATGTTTACACCCGAGGGCGATGAGGGGGTCCAGAATCGCATTCCTTCTATCGTAAAAACACCACATCCCTGAAGAACACTGCTAGGGCCCGGCTGGGAGTAGGGGGGCGGCGGGGGCGGGGGGGCCTAGGAGTGGAACTTTCAGACAAAGGCGCGGCGGTCCAGCGGCCGCGGCGGTCCAGCGGCCCCGGCCGCCTCGGGTCCGGATCGGGAAAAACGAGGTGGTGGGTCCTCCCTACTCGGACCCCATATCCCCAGCACGCGAGAAAGAGCGAGAAGCCACGCGGCGGCTGGGCCGAGCGTGGGGTGTCGGCGGAGACAATGAAACTTGCAGGCGCACAAACAAGGCACTGAGCGTGTTTCTTGACAACGTGCCAACAGCGTGGAGAGGCTCGCCCCACAACAGCCCCTCGTGTTGTGTCTAGCAGGAAAACAGCCGCTGCCGTTTCAGACGCAGCCTCAACAAAGAGCACGGCCGCCGCTCCAGCATGAGAGCCCCTGGGCGGAAAAGTCCACCAAGTGACTCCGCGCGGCGCGGCGCGGCCCGGCCAGCACGTTTCCCCGGACTCGCGTCTCCCGGTGCGCGCAGCCCGCGGACGCCTTACCTTTCTTGCCTTTCATTCTGGATCTCCCCTCCCAGCGCGAGGCAAGGCTGGGGTCTGGAGGGTCCAGGAGCGGGAACACAGGGGACAAGCGAACGTCTCCTTCAGAGCCGACTCTCCCGTAACTTGTAGGACGTGCTCCAGCCGTTATTGCTAAACAGGGCGCTCTGATCCCAGGCGTCCGCTCCTTGGGTGGAATTCAAGTGACACTTGGGCTTCCTCCCGCCGGGATCTTCTGGCAGCCGGCCGGGGGCTCTCCCTCGCCCAACTCTCTCCCCTCCCCTCTCTGCTCCTTTGTTCCCTGCTCCTGCTCGGCGCACCTCGGCGCTGTCAGAGTGAGAGAGGCGAGGAGGGAAGGTACAGGAGGTCCTGCCTCCGCCCCCAGCCGCCCGCCCCGTCCCCCTCCCGCCCCGCCGCTCCTCCGCCCCTCCCCCGCACCTTCCAGCCAGGAGGACTGGACCGAGCGCAGCGGCCGCTGTCACTCGTCCCTTGGGGGCGGCGGCGCGGACGCGGGGGGTGGCCGGGTCCAGAAACGCGATCCTTTCCGCTTGCCGCGCACTGACCGCCCGCATCCCTCGCCCGCCGGTGGGGGAACCAGCCGAGCGCCCCAGGTTTCTCCCTTGGGCCTTTCTTCCCGGGGCTGGCGAGGGTGCGTTTGGTTAGTAAACTGCAATAGATGGAAAAAAGGACACCTCCCTTCTTCCCTCCTCCACCCCAGGGAAAAAAAGCCTCCCCGTCTCGTTTTTGACAGCTGCCCGGAACTCCTCTGTCCCTGCTCTAGCCGCACAGGACAGCCGCCTCACATTCAAGGGGCGGGGCACGGGAGGAAAAGTATTCGAGACAAGAACCAACTTCTTCCAGAATGCGCGGCTGCCATTGACACGCGGGCGCGGCGCGGCGCACCCTTCTCCTCCCGGGGCTCTTCCTCCAGCAGCAACAGTGGGAGGTCGGCGGGGGTGGTGGGGGGGAATGATGAGACACAGCCTCAGCGAACGTCTGTTCCCCCGGGCTAAAGCTGCGAGTTCCGGACTGGATTGCAAGGCAGTTTCGAAATCTGACACGTTGCGGACAGACACTTGTCATGCTCACATGCTCTTTAAACGTCTCTGCCTGGTGGGGACGGCAGGGCGCGCACCCGCCTCGCCAAGACTCCGCCTGACACCCCGAGTCGCCGGACCCCGGCAGCGGCCACTTTTATAGCTAAGGGGTGACCACGCTGTGGCTGCTCATCTGTTTCGGTCAACAGTGTCTGCTTTTAGGACTGGAACCCTCGTAGGGGATCCCTCCTCCCCTCCGATATTTCAAACAGAAACTAGCCATTAAGTAAACACCCGTTCCTGTTGACTTATTTTGGTCCACATTAGGAGGGATCCAACGGGAGTTTCTTGATGAAATTGCCCTTTCAAAGACCAGATGCTGTTTGGCTGACTTTAAAGAAACGCATGCCCCTTCCTCTGGTTCTAGTTTTCGCGTGGTTACGTCCTGTTGTTTTGAAGCAAACGAACTGTCACATGCCACACAATGAGACTTCCCCCATCACTTTAAAAAAAAGAAAGAAAAACCCCAAACAAATAAGCCCAGCAGAGGCAGCGCCCGGGTCTGCCTCCAGCCTGGGCTCTGCTGTTTTTGTTCGGTAACCTCGGTAGAGATCCCGGCAGAAGAAACTCTGTGGAAATAAGATTAAACCCGAGGAGTACTAAGACGGCCAAGGGATAACTAACTCCACTTTGGAGCGTCTGTTTTAGGATTACCCCGAAAATTAGAGCCAGCCTGCCACCCTCCCTAAAAAAAAAAAAAAAAAAAAAAAGACACCCCCGCTCCGAGAGTGCGTGGAGGCCAGAGTTTAAAAAGCCTGGGTGGTTTTTCCAATTACAGGACTTCAAATGAATCAACAGGGGAAAAAGGCGTCTCTCTAAGAAGGCAGCGACCTTACGATTTTTTTCTTCTGTGATTTGCTGACTGCTCGGCACAGAAGAGAACACACATCTAAAACGGCTCGGGGGGAACGTGGTCCTGGGGAGAAGCCACCCGCCCGGACGCTGCCCTGCAACTGCCGGGAGCACAGTTCCTTCCCGGACCTGGCTGCAGATGAATCAGCTGCTGCGCCCGGTGCGGGACAGATGTGGCGCGGGGAGGGAGCCAGCGCCCCCGCCGCCCGTTAGAGGGCCGCCTCGCTATTTCATTTGAAGGGTTGTTTGTGGCTGGGATTGGTGGCTCATATCCGCTGGGGAGCCGGGAGCGGAGGGAGGAGAGACGCAGGGAGGAGGAGCCGGGGGCCGGGCGACGCTGCGACTCCGCGGCCTGAGTGGCAGGAGCCTCGTCTGGAACCGGGCGGTTACTGGGGAGACGCTTTGTTTGCTAACTTCGAAAGCGGCTTCGGCTGCCTCGGCAGCTTTCGAAGCCACTCCACAAAACACGCCTTCGGTCGGTTTAACCCTGCCTCCCTTCCCCGCCCGCTTTGGGCAGCTCGAGAGAAAACTGTTTCCCTCTTCCCCGTGGTTCTCCTTGGCCACGCGGTGGCTCTCATTATGTACACAAAGGTAGCTTTGCTTTCGTCCAAGTGGACTTGGCTAATAATGACTGCGATTCTCAGGCAACCGAGATGAAAACCGAGAATTGCAGAGGGTTTATAGCTTGAAAACAAACTTTCCCGGGGAAGAGGGGAGGAGCGGAGACAATTAAAAGCCTCTTTCAAATTATGGGGAGGAAAAAATGGAGATGTGAACTCACCTTGGCTAGGAGTCAGGCTTGATCGGGCCAATGCACACCTTTTGCCCGAGCAAATCATATCGAAACAGTTATTAAAGCTGGCGAAGCACTCCAAAGAGAAACACTGGCACAATTCTGTGATGTAGCGAAAGCTCATAGCCCACCCGCCCCCGTAGATGCACCCCCACTGCCTCCCACCCCCCAACACTGATCCCAAACTTGTTTGGAGTTTTGAATTCTTGGTGCATTCTGGGAAGAAAGTGCTTCGGGTCAGTGCAACATAACAAAGGAAACAGCCTCAAAAAAGTGGGATTCAGATACCAGCAATTGCTTAGGGTATTTGTTGACTCGTTTTTCTCGAGGTGGAAAAGCAAGTTTCAGTTCTAGCTCTGTTAGTCCCTTCCAGTCTCAGGGCCTTGCTATAAAACGGATTCAATGACTTTTAAGATTCTTTCCAGTGTTTTTTTTTTTTTTTTTTTTTTAACAAAGTCTGGCTCTGTCGCCCAGGCTGGAGTGCAGTGGCCAGATCTCAGCTCACTGAGGGCCTTGCTATAAAACGGATTCAATGACTTTTAAGATTCTTTCCAGTGTTTTTTTTTTTTTTTTTTTTTAACAAAGGATATGGATTCAAATTTGCTACATATTATTTGCTGATTCATATGAATGTTAATTGAATTGGGAAATTGCTTAAGTAAAATTGAGGCGTTGCTTGGTGCTGGTGGAGGCTGCTGATAAACGTTTTTCACCATTTTTTTTTTCTCTCTAGACACACATAGTTCCTTTTGGTGTCTTATCTTCTAAAGTTGCCTCAAGGCCAAGCAAAGAAAGTTATTAAAAAGTTAAGTTACTTTTCACAGCCTGCAAACCCTTCAAAGGCAAGAACGCAAATAACCAGAAAAGTGTACTAATAAATGCACTTAATATGATTGTTTTTTGATGCCAGGTCCACCAGGTGAAGATTGGAGGATGTGTTTGTTTCTTCTACTCAACAACAATTGATGAAGCATG